GGAAAATCAACCGCAGGTCTTCTAGTGGAATGCTTTTGCTCAAAAGAGCATATGGCTTAGTAATAGCCATGTAATATATTTAACACAAAAATGCAATTGTTTAAAATCTATTTCATGTGAATATAATAACTATAACCTTCAAAATTATCAGTCAGTGTAAATAGATTCATTCAACCTGATGACAGATAGATAGATAGTAAATAATGGGACAATTTCTCCTTGTCCCATTTGTCAGCTAATAAAGGTACATACCATTTTGCAGGTTCTACTGCTCTGCCCACTGCTCCATGTACAGAAATGGCCCATGCGTGTGTACAGTGTGGATGCATACATGTGTTTAAATGGCACTCACATCCCGTGCTCTACCAGTCTGGAATGAGTGACTGCAAATATAGCAAAGCTCCCCAGCAGTGCTAATGCTAAATTTATCACAGCAGGGCAATTTCCATAGAAGTCACTTATGATGCCAAAAAACCAAGTTCAAATTTCAGGTTCTGGAGGACACTGAAGGGCACAACAAGATGATTTTCTACGTGTATTTGTCCATTTTCATGCTGCTGATAAAGACATACCCAAGCCTGGGCAATTTACAAAAGAAAGCGGTTTAATGGACTTACAGTCCCACATGGCAAAGGAGGCCTCACAATCATGGCAGAAGGCAAGGAGGAGCAAGTCACATCTTATGTGGATGGCAGCAGGCAAAGAGACAGCTTCAGTAGAGAAACACCTCCTAAGAGAACCATCAGATCTCGTGAGACTTACTCACTATCATGAGAACAGCATGGGAAAGACCTGCCCCCATGATTCAGTTACCTTCCACTGGGTCCCTCCCACAACATGTGGGAATTCAAGATGAGATTTGGGTGGGGACACAGCCAAAGCATATCACTAAGCATATGTGTCTGCAGTCATGACAAGGGAGATGGCTAAAGTTCACTATTTTCTGGGAGCATCCCATAAATGAATGTTGTAGATTCTCTGCATGCAACACTGTTCCTGCAATGTAGTTTCTGTACAAGCTTGCTAGACGTATTCCCTTTTACACTTAGGATGCAATATTCTGTATGCCCCGTAACATTATGACACTGTGACACCATGTCCTAGTTCTGATCCAGATGTCATTCATTAAATAAATTATGTTGCTAAATGAATCCAACTGCGGTATAATTTCATCCCTGGGATAATTTTTTTTAAATTGTCTCCATTCACCAAATAATATTTTAGACAATATTAATTCATTTATTTATGAAATAATAAATGAAGACCTTCATTTATTCAGTTCATATGGGAGAAAAGCCTTTTCTTAACCAAGAAACGGGTGGGAACCCAGGAGTACTTCATTATTGTGTATTTCTTGAGTATCTACTATGTGCCAATAATCATTTTAGGTGTTAAATTCAGGCCACACTAAATGGGCAAGGTGAACTTGTTCCTTCTCTTCTTGGAGTTTAGTGCCTAATGGGGACACAGCCTAGGTGACAGGCAATTCCAGTGATAAGTGCTAGGAGAGGATGACAATGAGAAGCAGATGTAATGCACAACAAAGGTATCAACCCTCACCAGAGAAGGTTTCTCTGAAAAAAAAAAAAAAAAAATCTGTCTCAACTGAGACCTGAAGGCTGAGAGTGCATTATCCTGGAAAGAGAGAAAGGAGAGCAAGAGAGAACGTGTTCTGGGCAGAACAGACACGATAAGGGCTAGAAGGTGAAGGAAGACCTGGTACATTTGCAGCATCATAATGGGTTTTATGCTTAATGTGATTTGAGCTTAGAATGCAAAGAAAAGTTGAGAGTTGGTACGGAAGACTGTCCCTGCTTGGCACCTGGACAAGGAGAGTGGAGTGTAGAAATGGCAGGTACTCATCATAAGTATGTGCAAACCCCCAATGTTTAGCTTTTATCATAGCAGTTATATGATAAAAGCCAGGGGGTTTGCACACAGTTATGATGAATACCTGCCATTTCTGCCAGCATCCTATACTCTGGCTTCTGGTAATAAATTATCAATTTTACTTTTATGAACTTCCCTACCCCCTCTCAGTTTATCTGTCATGTGTGAGACTGACCCCATCTCTTGCTCTAAGAATGGGCACAAAATTTAGACCTGGACAGTAAGAGTCTTGCATCTCCCTGGCCATGGTGATTAACTCAGCAGTCAGCACATGTCCAGAGACATTCCAAAAAGCATGCACCCAGAACTTATGCATGAACTACTGTGAAAGAGCAATGTTTCTCACTGACTGGGCTGACTGACACAGAATGTCAACCTACTGCAGCAAGCAGCCATCTGTCCACCATTTATTCGTTCAATAATTAATGACTGAATAACTATTATGTGCCTCATGTTGTAGGCATTAGGAATACAAAAATAAAGACATAATTCTATTTCTCAAGTTTTCACCATTAACTGGAGAGACAAATAAAGTAAACTAATCACTTTAATAAAATGTGGTAAGTGTTAGGGTAGAAGTTACATACATTATTATACACAGAGGGAAAGGCAGCCAACTAAGAGAAAGCTACGTTCAGGATGGGCCATGCTGAGTTGAGGTGCCTGCAGGACAATGTACTGGAGGTGTCTTAGGCAGTAAATATGAGTCAAGAGCTCCCAAGAGAAATCTGCAGAGACACGCATCTGTGCTGGGCGGTGTTCATTTGTTTATACTTTGCTTCTTTCCTGAAGATTTGTATGTGCTTTGATTTAGGCATTAGCAGCATACAAACCGTAATTAAAATCTCAGATATGAATGAGATTGTCAAGGAAGAGCACATACTTCAAAATAAGAAAATAATACTTTAAGGTAAAAAGCAGAGGAAGAGAAGTCAATGAAGACTAAGAAGGCAAAGTCAGAACAGCATCAAAGGCAACCAAGGGAGGAGAGGCTGTCAAGAAAGGCATAAAGACCACAAACACAGTAAGACATCAAATTACATAAGAACTCGAAAGTGCCCACTGGAGGACGCCAGTGGGGTTGGTGAAAGGGTCAGAAAAGGGAGAGAACAGTAAGGAGGGATTGTGTTTGCTCAATGGCTGGTTTGGTGGGTAGTCAGTTGGTGTATTATAAAATGGGAGAGACTTAAAGATGTTTTTACTTGTGGTGGAAAGCCGGTAGAAAGCCAGTGGAAAGACTGAAGACACAGCCAGAATAAAGGAACTGAGTGATGAGTGTGGTGGTTCCAGAGGAGGCTTATGGGGATAGGTAATCCAAGAGAAGGGATTTGTTCTGGGTCAGGAAGTACACCTCTGTCTTGGGGAAGGGAGGGAGGCAGCAAGGGTATGAATGCCCATGCAGATAATTTTGTGAGCTAGGCTAGCAGGGCTGATGGACAATAAGTCTACATAAAAATTGTGCTTTTAAAAAATGGATTTGATCCATCATTCTACTAACATGTTATGAATCTCCCACAACTTCCAAAGTGAAAAAGGACTGAACTGTTGGTGAGGAGTTCTGGGAAGCTGAGGCTGCACTGCATGGCTGCCAATGGTGGGTATTTTCCGTTGTACTTGAAACCACAGCCTGGCTGATTTTTTTTTTTTTTTTTTGACTCAGTTAAATTTATTTCAAACCTTAAGTCTATGGGTCACACTTATTTCAAGCAATTTCATTTTCTTAAGAGTCAGGCTGTTGTGTCTTTGCCTCTCAAAAGCCAGCAGCAGTTGAAAAGGTACTTGTTCCAATCAATAACCATTTAAAAACAGAAATAGATATTTAAGATGAGTCTGTGGAATTGCTCCCTTTAAGACATCTTTCTCAAAAGCAACCTTTCTACCTATCAACATTACACTGTAAATGGGCCCATCTAGGAGAATCCTTCAACTTTCTGTTATAAAATATCTCAATCTGATGAGGCCTGGCTGGTGACATGTGAGATTCATTTCAGAAATAAAGCGCCTGTCCCTGAATTGGATGTGGAGCTAAGGTAATGCTGTGTGAGAAGCTGTTCAGCAAGGGGAAAATTCACATTAGGTGAGCAATCAATTACTGAAGAGGTTATCCATCCCAATGCAATCATTTTATAGCACATAAACTGAAGCCCAGAGTGCCATATGGTTCACTGGGATCAGTGCCAGGATCCGAATCCAGGTCCCCCGACTCCCAGCCCAAAGTTCATTTCTCTTCTTATAATATCTGTTACTCCTGCTGGGCAGCAGACTCCTCAGGGGCAGTGACCCACCTCTTCCATCTTGTTCACCCCACATAGAGAGGTGACAATCAAAAATACCTGTTTATCAATAAGTTAACCACACTCAGGTTAAGCCGCTGTTGGTCACTTAGGTTTTATGCAGAGCCGAACATCAGAGTAAAAGGTCTCACCAGAAAGAAAAAAAAAATCACCAACCTGTAAATACATGGTTTATGAACTCTGAAAATACTAGAAACTGTAAACATGACTTCCAGGGTGGAAGCCTTGGAAACAGCAGCCACAGAGCCACCTCTCGTAAAGAAATCCAAGCCAGAGTTTCATTGTCATGGGGTTGGCAGGCACAACACCCCTAGTCATCTATATAGCTTGAGAACAAAAGTTTCCACATTGCCTCTAAGTCAGTTTTAACCAACTTGAATCCTCCTTAAAATATTTAACAGGCTCTCTCCTTTCCCCAAACGCTGTAATTGCTAAGCTTCCTTTCATCTTCCCGTAATCAAACCTGCCTAAAGTTTTTTGGTAAGTTGAAATCACGTGTTCTTTTGCACATTAACAAGCCATTCCAGCCCCCAGGGAACAGCCTTTGCCAGAGTATGAAGGAGCTCCAAGGAGTTAGGGTTGGAAATTGGCATTAGCCACAGCTGAAATTAGTTTTTTCAAACAGAACCCTGTGAAGTTCTTCATTTTGCTGAAAACCATGTGCTGGCTTAATGCCTTCTTATTCTGGTTGAGACCAAATGCTTCTCAAATGAGTCTGCTAGAAGGGGTCCCTAGTGAGAACTGTATCCCCTCTTAGCATTCTTCAGTTTACATTTGGTTTGGGTTAATTGGTTAATGGTGAAAATAAGTACTTACATCGATTGCCCCTAAATCAGGAGTTGCTGCTGCTGCTTCTGCTATATCCCATCATGACAGCCTGCTGTTACTCACAGCTGGCAGATACTGTAAACTGTGTTGCCACGTCAGCTGCCCAGAACCTTTCTGCTTCAGCAGCAGTTTCCCATCGGAATGGCTTAATATGCAGCTCCTGAGGCTGGAAACATGATCTGACCACCATATTGAGAAGGTCCGAATAAAAGAGGCCACTCTCTGAAATTACAGAAAGAAACCACACACTCCCCTTTGTATTTCTGAATGAGAATTCCACAGAGAGCCTAACTATTACATTGAATTCCTAAACAATCAGGACAGCAGGTGAATAATTGGGAAAAAATTCCATCAGGATTGGACATTGAAAAAGTGAAAATTAGGGACTCAGCATTACAGATGTTAGTTCATCATAAAAGTGTTAGTTTGGAGTAGCAAAAAACTGAAAATGTGAATGCTCATGAATAAAGAAATAGTTGGATAAATTATGAGATATTTATGTTGTGAAGCATTAGGATATCTAATAGCAAATAATAAAGCTATGCCAGTTGACTTGGAAGGGTGTCTATGACATATTATTGAGTGAAAAGGTATATTATCCCACATGCCGTTATATATGCATATACAGAATTATTTCAGAGTATTTTTGAGTGTGTAGGTATCAAAGAAGACTATGTAATCAGAAGAAATAATAAAGCTGTCTTTATTATGTAAGAATCATTGACAAGTGGTAACTTGCCTGAACTCTTATGCTTCCAAGCCCTCTGCTGAATCTTAAATGGATCTGGGTTTTTCCTCTCTCTGTTCCAAACACACAAAAGAACCCTAAAGATGTCTCCTGCTTATTTGGAAAAGACAAGCCATGCAAAAGAGAAAATATAAAATCCTCTTCCAGCCCAGACCTCACACAGCCCTTCCCTCCTTTGAGATTGTTGTCAAAGGCAGGTCAACTTTTCACGTCCTTTCTACAGAGGGAGGGATCCCAGAGCATGTTGCTGACAGTGCTGTTCAATCCATACTGTCTCAGATAGTGCCCCCAGGGGTGACTCAGAGATTATTTTAAAAACTACCAATTGCAGAAAAGAGGAGACTTAGAATTGATCAACCAATCCCTGCATTTTAGTACCAGTCAAAAACTGGGAAATAAGCACTTATTGATCAATGACCAAATAACCAATGCATCTTACATGATTAGAACACAAGAGAGTTCACTATGTATTTCTCAGCCACTTTTTTGAATTAAAATGAAGTGAGCTGGGCAAGGTGGTTCATGCCTGTAATCCCAGCACTTTGGGAGGCCGAGCCGTGCAGATCAGTTGAGCCCAGGAGTTTGAGATCACCCTGGGCAATATGGTGAAACTCCATCTATACTAAAATTATAAAAATTAGCCCTGTGTGATGGTGTGCTCCTGTGCTCCCAGCTACCTGGGGGGCTGAGGTTGAGAGGCATGAGGTCAAGAATTCAGTGAGCCAAGATCACACCACTACACTCTAGCCTGGGTGACAGAGTGAGACCTTGTCTCAAAAAAAAAAAAAAAAAAAAATTATGTGAGGCATATGAATGTACTTGGATGTTAAATTATCTTAATTATATAGACAACATAAGTTTTTTTTTAAACGGGGAAAATTATAGAAAATTCAAGTTTTCAGTCACCTTAATGGCTGTGTATGAAGTACATACAAGTATGAAGCAGAAGGCACATATGTATTAGGTGTTTATTACCCTGGAATGGAGGAAGTTCTCAATGTTAAATAGGGAAAAGGCCTGATTTTTGATAAAATTTCAGAATTGTAGAACTGTTTCAAAAATAGCTTTTTAGGAACCATTCCAAGATGGCCAAATAGGAACAGCTCCAGTCTGCAGCTCCCAGCAAGATCAATGCAGAAGACAGGTGATTTCTGCATTTCCAACTGAGGTACATGGTTCATTTTACTGGGACTGGTTGGACAGTGGGTGCAGCCCACAGAGGGTGAGCCAAAGCAAGGGGGGCATCACCTCACCTGGGAAGCACAAAGGGTCAGAGGATTTCCTTTTCCTAACCAAGGGAAGCCGTAACAGACTATTCCTGGAAAAATGGGACACTATTGCCCCAATATTGCACTTTTCCCAAGGTCTTAGCAACTGGCAGACAAGGATATTCTCTCCTGTGCCTGACTCGGTGGATCCCACACCCACAGAGACTTGCTCACTGCTAGCACAGCAGTCTGAGATCAAACTGTGAGGTGGCGGCCTGGCTGCGGGAGGGGTATCTGCCATTTCTGAGGCTTGAGTAGGTAAATAAAGCAGCCGGGAAGCTCGAACTGGGCAAAGCCTACCACAGCTCAGCAAGGCTTCTGCCTCTATAGACTCCGCCTTTGTGGGCATAGCTGAACAAAAGGCAGCAGACAGCTTCTGCAGACATAAATGTCCCTGTCTGACAGCTCTGAAGAGAGCAGCAGTTCTCCCAGCATGGCATTTGAGCTCTGAGAATGGACAGACTGCCTCCCCAACTGGGTCCCTGACCCCCGTGTAGCCTAACTGGGAGACAGCTCCCAGTAGGGGCCAACAGACACCTCATATATGCAGGTGCCCTTCTGAGACAAAGCTTCCAGAGGAAGGATCAGGCAGCAATATTTGCTGTTCTGCAGCCTCCACTGGCAGGCAAACACGGTCTGGAGTGGACCTCCAGCAAACTCCAACAGACCTGCAGCTGAGGGACCTGACTGTTAGAAGGAAAACTAACAAACAGAAAGGAATAGCATCAACATCAACATCAACAAAAAGGACATCCACAGCAAAACCCCATCTGGAGGTCACCAACATCAAAGACCAAAGGTAGATAAAACCACAAAGATGGGAAGAAACCAGAACAGAAATTCAGGAAATTCTAAAAACCAGAGCGCCTCTTCTCCTCCAAAGGATCGCAGATCTTTGCCAGCAATGGAACAAAGCTGAACGGAGAATGACTTTGACGAGTTGTCAGAAGTAAACTTCAGAAGGTCAGTAATAACAAACTTTTCTGAGCTAAAGGAGCATGTTCAGACCCATCATAAGGAAGCCAAAAACCTTGAAAAAAGGCTAGACGAATGGCCAACTAGAATAAACAGTGTAGAGAAGATCTTAAATGACCTGATGGAGCTGAAAACTATGGCACGAGAACTACGTGACATATGCACAAGCTTCAACAGCCGATTCGATCAAGTAGAAGAAAGGGTATCAATGATTGAAGATCAAATGAATGAAAAAAAGCGAGAAGACGAGGTTAGAGAAAAAACAGTAAAAAGAAATGAACAAAGCCTCCAAGAAATAGGAGACTATGTTAATGTGAAGAAATATGAGACTAAATACATATGCACCCAATACGGGAGCACCCACACTCATAAAGCAAGTCCTGAGAGACCTACAAAGAGACTTAGACTCCCACACAATAATAATGGGAGACTTTAACACCCCACTGTCAATATTAGACAGAT